AGCAAATCTAATTCAGAACAAGACAATGCAATGCAATAGGTCATTACAGCCAAATTGCACATTCATTAAAAATTCTTATATAATATTAGATAAAATTTAAATAGTATAGCCAAATGAAGTGGCAGTATTACAACTGTGACAGCAACCAGTCATTCTTTAAATGGATCATTGTTTTAAGGGCACTAAACATTTTTATTGACGTTTTAGTAATATTATTAAAAGCCACTCATATATGTATAATTTATAAATACATACTATAAAATATCCTAAGAGACAAATGCAATCAGTAAATTGTTTAACAAAATAAATTTAAGCTAGTTAACATTCACACATATAAACGAGATCTTTGTAGCATATGGGTATTAAATATTATTTAAAAAACAGAGGAATTGATAGGAATTTGCTAAGCAATAGAATTCACAAAAACATGTATTTCATTAATTTGTAAAGTAGTAGATGTTTTCAAAAGTTTACAAACATAACATGGAAACAGAATCGTTATTACAATAAATTTCAATATGATATAAAAGTAATAAGTTATAACAAATTGTAAGCCACATTGAAATCCTAGTAGCTTTTTTGTTTTATTGAAGTTATAGATGCATGTATGTTCTTTATGGAAAATATAGGAAATAATAACCATTGTAAATGAATAATGAAAATATTTTGTTTGCCTTATCGGCAAATCAAATAAACAAGAAATCCTGGAATTCAAATTGATTCAATGATCAATTCTTTAAGGTAGCCTACTTGCAAATCTTGATAGATGTATTTTTAATGACCCAGAATGCAATAGAATAAGGTGGCATAGAAACATGATTTCCATATTTTATATGATGTGGCTCCAAGTCAGGTAATGAAGATTCATAATACAATGGCCAGCCATTAAGTAAAACAGTTTTAGTTCTTCTATTGTTGGAAGGTGCACTAATTATGTATTCCTCAATATTTAAGTTACTTCCATGAATAGCTGTTCCATTTAGTAGAAACCGTACTTTGTCCATTTCTAAGTTAATAGCATATATTGTTATAGCTGTTGTGTCATTAGTATATTTATTGTTTGTACAATGGGCATATATTCTTTGTAAGCGTGAACATTTGCAATCCACATGTAGTACCTTGTTTCCAACAAGTCTTTTATATAATACACTGACCCACCAATCAGGTAGTGGTTCTAAATCATCATCTAATAAACTATAGTTTCCACCTACTAGACTTTGTCTTATTACAGTGGTAATATTATACTTAGCACTCAGTCCTAGTTTGTCTAGCCACAATGGAGTTGCAGCAAATGAGTTTGACAATCCAGGTGTACCTCCACCATAAGAGCTGCTTGTTTCACTTAACCACATAGGTATGTGGTTATATTTTAATGTGCTGTTTTTCATCAACAGAATTTGGTCATTTAGTAAATCAAAAGTACTAGGATTCCAAAAATCTTCCAATTTTGCAGTTCTGCTATTCAAATAGTACTGATGCCATGATCTTATATTAATATAATTAGACCCATTGCTTAAAAATTCTACCATGTATTCAAGGCAATTATGGCAGTTCGGTTGGGGCCTTGTGGTGTCTGGTCCCACCAATAGTGATTTTTTATATCCATGGTCATCTGAAATTTTTCTAAGCTTTCTAAAATCATGAGCTAACATTTTTGGAGTAATACTGATATTAAAAACATGTTTTAATGAGTTTGGTTCATTTCCAAGCTGCCAGTCCACATCAAATTCTCTTTGTCTAGAGAATTCTAGAATATCTATTGCATTATGACTATTCCATTCATGTTCATCACGCAAAAGAAGGTTAAATGGGAATAATAACTTAATATTGGTGGCTTTACAGAATTCATTTATATCAATCCATTTTCTTCCAGTTAAAATGAAAAATGGCAAAATTTTATGTCTACACATTTTTTTTACAGAGGGGCATGAAGATTTCGTGTTGGAAGTGCAGTGTTTACATGAAACAGAAGGAATGTCTTCGGCACTAAATATTAACCGATCTGATAACGTACCACCTAGTCTTAGTCTTGCAGGTGATAATGCATGAGCAAGTTCTCTGAATCGTGATTTTTTAAAATCAATTTTGCTATAATTCTGTATTTCTGAGGAATCTATCCCGATACTTAAAAAATCGTCTGGAAGTACAGCAGCAACCTCTTGACGTTCGTCAATAGATATATAACACTTTTCACCGGCATTGTATTGTACAAATAAAACAAGTAATGCTACGTTACAACTAACAGCTATAGCACAAATAGCCACTAAGCGTTTATTCGACAACATTATCCCACAAATATTTATTCTACTTAGACATTATTTCCACAGGCGACAAATCTTCTAACAAACAATATAAAAATTGAAACTATCAATCAACTGCGAAACAGATAGAAATGAAATGAAGTTGAAGTTTTTTGTAGACTTGAAGATGAACACTGAACAGTGAATTGCTGAATGCTAGTGTTGCAATCAGCAATCTGTAATCTATGAAATGTCAGGATCAGATCTGACAAGTTAAGTTGGGGATATCCTATAAATCGATATAATATTGAAACAAATTAACTACGTATTATTTAATATGTCTGGTGCGAGACAAAGAGGAGAGACGTTATTACTCCGAAACTGCTCACAATGAATGAATGATGTTTTCAACAAGGGCGGATCCAGCTTTAGTGCCAGGGGGGGGGGGGGGGGGGGGGGGGGGGGGTCACGTAGTCGTGGTCAAGTGATAAGAAGTTATAATTTAATTTTTAAAATCAAAGATAGAAGTAAAAAGTAGGTACTTATTTTTAACCGACTTCAAAAAGAAGGAGGTTATCAATTCGGATGTTTATATTTTTTTTATGTGGGTATGTTCGGGCATACCTTCGTCATATATAGACGGATTTGCTAAATTCTGTTTTGCTCGTACATAGCGTTGACTTTTATTATCATATTATACAGGTTGGCTTTTATAAAGGTGCCCAAATTCACACAGGAGGTTCAGACTCGGTAATATAATCGTTTATTGAAATAAAAACAAACTTTAATAAAAAATGTTAATTAAGTTAACATTTTTTTTACTGTTTGTACCGCTCGCTCACTCTTTCCGTTAGATTGAGGAAAATTAGGAGATGACGTGACATGTTTAAATCCCCATTCAAGAGCAAATTTTTTGAAATCACCACTAGTAAACTGCGTCCCGTTATCACTAATTAAAGTTTCTGGAATACCATACCTACCAAAATTCTCTTTTAATGCTGTTATGACCGAGATTGAAGAGATATTTTTCAAATCACTGACTTCTATGAATCCAGAGTAATAATCGACCAAAATTAAATAATATTTTTTTCTATATTCAAATATATCTATAACTACAGATTTTTTTCCAAATATGTATTGGTGAAATTTTTCACATGCATATACAATAGCAAGCAGCTCTTTTTCTATTTGAGCATACCTAGTCTGTGTATCAGTGAGCGTTCGCGAAGCATATTCGACCGGACGACCGTCTTGCATGAGCACGGCACCAAGCGCGACGCTGCTGGCATCTACAGAGACAACAACCGGCCGCGTAACGTCAAATAGTGCCAACACTGGGGCACTGCTAATTAGTTCTTTTAATCTTTGCAATGATCTATCGTGAGTATCATCCCAATACCACGAAGATTCTTTTTTAAGCAATTGAGTAAGATGAACTGTATGATTTGAATAATTTGGAATAAACTTTGATAAGTAATTCGTAGCACCCAAAAACCTCTCTAACGCCTTTTTATTATTCGGCGTAGGCATATTTTTTATAGCCTCTACTTTACAGTCATCCGGTTTCATACCGTGTTTATTGAAAACATGTCCTAAATAAATTACTTCCTCCACATAAATTTTACATTTTTCTTTGTTAAACTTAAGATTAATTTCTTGGGCTCTGTTTAATAAAGCAGTCAATCGCTGATCATGTTCATTTTTGTTTTTACCCTAACAAATAATATCGTCAATAAAAACATCTACTCCCTCTAAATCTTCTAACAATTGTTTAAGTGTCGAATGAAAGACTTCAACCGCACAATTTAAACCATACGGTAATCTTAAAAATTTGTATCGCCCAAACGGAGTACTAAAAGTACACAAATCCGCACTTTTTTTTGTCTATCTTAATTGCCCAAAAACCAGAATTGGCGTCTAAAACAGAAAAATATTGTGCGCCGTATAGCTTTGTAGCTAACTCATTAACAGTTGGCAATTGAAAGTGCGCCCGTTGTATTGCACAATTTAGTGGCCGGGGATCGAGACATAATCTAATACCACCATTTTTTTTAGCTACAATCACTAATGCATTTACCCATGAAGTTGGATGGTTAACTTTTCTAATCACACCGAGATCCATCATTCTATTCAGTTCGTCAAGTAACTTGTCACGCAAACTAAAGGGAATTTTACGTGGCGCACTTACTACAGGGTTCACAGACTTGTTAACAACAATACTATATATTCCAGGAAGACAGCCAATGCCAGAAAATAAGTTATTATAATTTAACAAATTTATATCATGCATACGCTTAATCAAACCTAATTTAACACACGCATTTCTACCTAAAACACTCTGACAGTTAATACTAGCTATGGCAAACTTCAATACAAATAACTTATTTTTGTACCACCACTTTAAATAACATATTCCTTTTATTGGAATAATATTGCCGCTGTAAGATTGTAGCTTAATATTACTCGTAACATCTAATATATTAACATCATATCCTAACAACAAAAATCTCTTATAGGATAGAACATTGATATCCGCTCCCGTATCAAGTTTAAATTTTTCAACACCGCATTCACCTGTTAATGTCTCATACCAATCATCTGATTTATTAACATAAGATGAGTCGAAAACTGTAGATATAAAAAAGGATTCACTATCACTATTTGAATTTTCAGTACGAACATCTATGTCATAAATTTTTTTCGATCGACTACTGCACATTCTCGCAAAATGATTATAGCCACCGCATATGTAACACTTTACACCGGCCGCAGCACATTTCTCCCGTACACGATACTTGCCACAGTATTTACAAGGCGCTCGACGTTCGAAACGCTCGACGTTGCCACCCCTACGCTGACCGCCTCGAGCGCAGCTGGCGCCTGCGCTTGCGACGCTGCCGCTTTGAGTCGTGAAACCGCCGCTCGCGTTCCATCGCTTGTTTTCGACAGCACGTTCTCGACTGTGCGCTTTAATACCATCTATGGATGCTTGCTCCGAGTCGACAGCATGCAATTCTAACTGACGGCTACTATCAGTTGAAATTTCATCCGCTTGGCAAATTTTTATCGCCTTTTCTAAACTCAATTCATCCGTTCACAATAAGCGATCTCGAACGATGCTGTTTCTTATGCCACACACGATTCTATCTCTTATTAATTCTTCTTCTAAAGTTGAAAACATACAAGTTTTTGATAACAGTTTTAACGCAGTGACGTATTGATTTATGGACTCCCCTTCAATTTGATTTCTCATAAAAAAATTGTACCTTGCTAATGTGATATTCGGCTTCACTCCAAAATAGTTATCAAATTTTTTTAACAACACCGCAACGTCATCACGATCTGTCTCTTTTTCAAACGTGAATGTTTGAAATACATCAAATCCACCTGGGCCTATTAAGTTGATTAATAAGCTAGCTTGTATTAACGCCTCTTCTTTATGTACACCCGAGGCCTTTAAAAATAACTGAAATTGTAGCTTCCACCTCTTCCAAGCGTCAGCCCGGCTGACGGGGCTGCCATCCATGCACAATTCCGGCGGTGGTCTTGCATGCTCCATTACAAATGTATCCCTGATCCACTTTTATCAACTACTATTACCGATACTTTAATAAATTCGCGAAATATGAATTTATTTCACATCGCTGTCACCATGTTGTGTTATTGAAACGCCTTGTAGGATGACAACTACTTTATTTTATAATACCCTCAACAAATATTATTTTAGAATTAAAAAAAAGTCAGTGAAACTTTGTCTTCGCATTCAGTGAACAGTCTCCCCTTGTCTATATTTTAAATTACGTGTCACGTAGCCGTTAGGTTAAACAACGTCTTTTATGCGTGTAACGAAACGCAAAAAGTCTGAAGATTGCGCGGTTGCCGCCAGGACGACCCGCACGTCATCTTATTTAGTGATATGCGATCGTCCTTCTGTGGAAGCCGTGTTGTAACCTGACAGCCAACAGTCCTCTGGTAAGGATTATTTTACTTCTATTTATGTATAATGATGATTCCTTCAAACATTTAAATTCTTACAATATATAAATTTTTGCTATGTGCAGCAAAATAGCATAGATCAATTATATTTCGTACTACTCATCAATGAAATCAAATTAAACAGTCCCCTGGCAACAGTGCCCCGTCTCTATACAGGGGACTGTTTCCGCATCCAGGGGACTGTCTAACTAAATTATAACTGTTATAGTTTTAAATTTGTTTAGAGAATGGCGCCAAAAAAACCCACTAAAGGAGAGATTCTAGAAGCAGAGCGAAAGAGATATGATAAGATTAAAAATTACCCTCATAAAAGAGAAGAACTTAGAGAAAAAGAACGAACGAAGAAACCTTAATAAGAAAGAAAAGGTACAGGAAAGCTTGTTGAGAATATGACTCCACAAAAACATCGAGATGCCAAGAAAAAGTGGAAAGCAAGCATTGCACCAAGTATCACAATAAGAAAAAAGTATTAGCAAATACACGTAGTACTAACTCATTTATTAAAGAAAATACTCCAGATTCTGATGAAGTTGTTTTTCAGCAACTTCATCAGAATCTGAAGTATTTTCTTTCTATTTTGTCAAAACTTAATATAAAATATGTGTAAACTGATTCAGAAACTGAGAATGAGGCTGGACCTAGTTCTGCTGTAGTACAGGCAGTCAAAACTGGAGATTATATTGTTGAAAAGTCAAAAGTTAATGTAACAGATGTGTACAATGATTCAGAATTTGAGAATGAGGCTGGACCTAGTTCTGCTATAGTACAAGTATTCAAAACTGGAGATTATATTGTTGTGAAATTGCTTGGCAAAACAAATATTGAATATTGAATAATGAACAAATATGTGAGCGTAATTGACAAGATTGATGAAGAAGATGGCGAAATCCGGGTTACGTTCTTAAAACTCTGTTATAATAAAGTTCAATTATTAAGACACGATGATGATGATGTGGCAGACATTACAAGGGACCAAGTAGCCCAGAATGTTCTGTATGTTCCAGAATGTACAAGTTTGATTCATCTGTAGATATTTTCGATAAAAAATATGATTAAATATAGCAAAAATAGGTAAAAGAAAATAGTATTTTATTTTGCCTATTTTTTCTATATTTTAGAAATAACAAATTTTATTTTTCGAGGCTGATTCTATAGTGTAAATTTAAAGTACTGAAAGTCCTTTCAATTGTGATTTTATCTTATAATAAGTAAATATTAAGATTACAATGTTAAGTATGATATTACATAAAGTAAATTAAATAATAGTTGATTCTTTAATTTTTTTATTGTTCAGTGACTTAATTATTAAGCTCCAAAGTTTATAATGATATAAAAAACATTTAATTTCTGTACTAAAATTATATTTTTTATTTAAGTTCACAGCGGCTGGCTTCGGCAACAGTCCCCTGTACATGTTTTTCAGAAAATGCTTGATATTTTCTAAAGTATTCGGAATATTTGTGGTTCATCTGCCGTATATTAATAAATAGGCGGATACTTGTTCCCTAAATAAAATTTATTATATTATGAGCAAAAAAGTTGCCTAGACAGTTTTCTTAAAAAAGTTGCCCAGTTTACAGAGAAACGCACATTTATGTTTAGAATTTAATAAAAAAAAAATGGATACACTTAGGAAAGCCACCCTGTATAGTATTTTTTTAAGTAGTTATTGGTAGGCTTACTTATTTTTGGAATTTCTTTTATTTATTTCTTCGTTACCACATTTTATGTAGTCGTATTGGTTATAATATTCTCTATTCCTCTACTCCGAACGCTGGCTCCACTTCAATGACAAGTAGCCTAAGACAAGACTATCGGGATACGGGTTGATAATAATATATAATCAAACAAAAATAAAATTACATCGTCCACATTAAAAAAAATTTTCATAAATAACATTTAGTAGTAATAACAAATATTTATTCAATCATTCATTCATTCATTCATCCATTCATTCATAATATTCAGCGCTTCTAATTTATCTAATCAAAGACAGAATCCACATTCATAACAAACGGAAAAAACAATCTTTATTTCCCAAAGATGGTCTCGCTTACTCACGTCCACCAAACCACCACATCTCACCACCCATCAAAAACGGTCCACCCACTAAGACGAATCAAACTTGACGCAGTTTTGTTACTTAATTACTGAGTTCCTATGGCCACATTCCAGCTCTGTCATCAGACCCTGGTTACCATCTAGTACCAAAGAACTCGTCATGACGAATCAGACGAGCCGAGACGCAATAGGGTTGCGTAGTTTCTTTTCAGAATTCATATGACTATCTTCCAGCTCCATCATCAGAACAGACCCTGGTAACCATCTAAAAATTAAGAACTCGCCAAGACGAATCAAACGAGCCGAATCGCGATGGGGTTGATTCGTTTCATTACAGAGTAGTCATAGGAACCTCACAGAAGATCGGCGTAAAGTACTTCTGCGATTTGTCTGGAGTACCTCACTCAAGAAATGCAATTTGTTCCGGCTCTGGCTACCTAGCCGGAGCCCACTTTATTATGAGGAGAAAACGCATCTGCAACCCTATGCATATTTCCATGGACGGCTGATGATGGAGCTCCATCATCAGATCGTAGTTACATAAAAGAACTATCTGTGGACAGCACACATAGTTGTCCCGTGTGGGAGTCGAACCCACGACCCCCGACGCCGAAGCCAAAATCTTGGCAACTGCGCCACGGAGTCATCAAAATATTGTAAAAATGTTCATAAAATGAAAACTACTTGGCCAAACTATGGTAAATTTTTATGGGACTAAATGGCAACTATCCTGCATCAAACTAAAGAAGAATCAAGGAAATCGGATCAAATCTCAACGTAATCGGTGTACGAAAAAAATATCCCAATCGAAATGAGAAACTCCTCCTTTTGAAGTCGGTTAAAAACATTATATTATTTTGATTAAATATTGAAGGTACTTAAATAAAATCTGTATATGCATGAAAAAAATATATAAAAACATTATGTTTAACAATTTCAATTAGTGGTCCAACTAGGACCTGGACCCAGCCCAGGGGGGGGTCATGACCCCCATGACCCCCCCCCCCCTGGATCCGCCCTTGGTTTTCAAGCTCTTGGTCTGTAACGGATTCGGTATCAGTTCACATATTAGGTGATTTTTTTAAAGATTACTAGTATTTTATTATGGCATTAAACATGCCTCGTTTTGTAATTTTATGTATCTGAAGTATACTTATTATGGTGCATTCGGAAAAAATTATGACAGCAAAATTTTTACGATGCGCGTGCACACAGTAAACGTAGTGATTACATTCTCTTTGGTGCACAGTGCACACCGACAGCAATAAGCGGTACGATGAAGTTGCAAAGCGACCAACCTCACCGGTATATAAATATATCATTTATGTCAATCGATAACAACTTTTAGGTCCAAGAGCCTGGGGCCGCCAGACGTTACTTATTTTCTGAGAAACAAAATTTATCGTACAGAGTAGCGTTAGAGTTTACTCTGAAGGTATACATATCTGCTAGCTTGGGTGGGCGGCCAATTTGCAGGTACCAGATGCTAAAGGCACATAAAAAACATCGCTCACTTTTCTTAAATTCGGAATGCTGATTTTCATAATTATATATTTTACAAGATTTAAATACAAATTTAAAATCAATATTGAAAGATTAAGGCAGATCAGGCATATCATAATTATAAAGTGAATTTTTTGGGTCTCGTACCCAAAGGGTAAAACGGAACTCTATTACTAATACTCCGCTGACTCTGTCTGTTCTTTGTAGTGGCAATAGACATAAATCATTTTTGAAAATTTCAACTGTCTGCCTATCACGATTCATGAGATACTCATTTTCCGTCGATGGCGCTGTGCCGTATCTTTGCTTTTTCGTGCATTGCATTTGATGTGTAAACTGGTTAAACTGTTACGTGGCGCATTGTTGGAATCCTCTGAACGCGCCATGCCGTGTAGACATAGACGCTTTACGTTAACGGG